CTTAAAGTGGCCGGTGCTGGGCCCTGATCCTGCAAAAGTTTACAGGTGTGCTTAACCCCACACACTGAGTTGTCCCAGGGGAATGGGAGTGTTAGGCCCATGCTTAGCGTTAAGCATGTGAAATCTGCAGGATCAGGGCCTTGGGGGCCAAAGTTAGGCATCTGAACAAATGACCTGTTGCTCAGAGGTATAGATCACCCTGCAGCTTCTGTTTATTTCACATTTTGGCCTATAAGGGGTTATATTATGAACGTGAACATGTTACCAAAGGAAGGGGGAATACAAGGCAATAAACCTCTCTGAGAAGGAGATGGAGGTGCAGTGCCTTTGAGTTGTTGTTTGGGGTCTGCATGGGACTAGGATGAACATGATGGTTTCATCTTGATCTTTGGGATTCTGCCCAAAACAGGGCTCAGCTGAGGGACTGCTTGGTAATTGAACCCCTTTGCAATCAGGCCAGTCACAAAATGGAATGTGGCGTAACCTGTGCTTTGTTTTGTTTTCACTCCGCTAGGCTTTAACCAGGAGCGGTCTGCAGGCAGCTCCACCATGTCAGACAGCGACCTTGGAGAAGATGATGGGACTGCCTCTCTGGACCTGTTGCAATCGAACAAGAGGAAAAGAAGGGGGAACCTCCCGAAGGAATCGGTGAAGATCCTCCGAGACTGGCTCTATGAGCATAGATTCAATGCATATCCATCTGAGCAAGAGAAACTCAGTCTGTCTGGACAGACCAACCTCTCTGTGCTGCAGGTGAGAATGTCTCTCGACCTTTCCTATCCCCCCCCCACCCCCCCAAGAGGATGTATTTCTGGTGACCGGAGGGAGTTAAGTTAAATGCATGGCACGGGGGGTTGGGACCTGGCACTGCTTAATAATATTTGGCAGAAAACTGCTTTGCACTTGTATTGTACAAGGAGAACTCATTTGAAGATCTCCAAGAGCATTGCAGACTGTAATGCGTTAATCATGGCACCACTCTCATGAGATGGATTGTAGGTATTAGGGGGCCTGTTTTACAGAGGTAAACTGAGGCAGAGAGGTTAAGCAGCAAAACTATTCTTACATATACAGCACCTTTCCTCCTGAAAGACCCCAGAGTGCTCCATAACCCCAACATCTGCAGCCCAGTTCTGGGGCAGCGGAGTGCAACCACAATGCAAAACTGTAAGCGGGGCGGGGTTGGCCTTTTGGACTGGGTGTAACCTCTACTCTTACAAAAATTGCCTTGAGGTCTTTATTCCTATTTGTTTATAAGTCTTTCTAGCCAGTGCGACTGGACCATTGCTCTCATGAGTGCTAAGTGAAAGGGCAGATGCTGCTACCTGTACTCCTATCAAATAGTGCCTTTGAAAAATTGGTGGATTTGCTAGAGGAGACAGGTGAAATGTGATTAGACTTTAAGGGGGAGGGGGGGGACAGGTGAAATGTGATTAGACTTTAGTTGCAGCAGCAGCTCAGCTGAAGTGTTGTGCAGTGACACCCGCTCACACCTGGTCTGAATCTGAACCCACTCCATTAGAAGAGGACACAGCGCAGCTAGGGAGTTACTGTGGGCAGAGTGCTACTCCAGAGACTCCGATATCAGAATGAGTGTGATGGTTTCATCACAGTAACCTAGTCTGGGGAAACTGGCATGGGGAGCAGCAGCATCCCAGAGCAATTCTCCGTCCATCTGTGCATGGCTGGAAGATTACAATGCCTGCTTTTGAATGTGGGCTGTGTCATGGGGACCCATGTCTTGGTCATCCCCGCAGGGTCACTGCGGAGTGATCCACGTGAGGCACATCTGAAGGCAAACATTGGCTAGTGCAGGAGGAGGCTGGGGCATTAATGCCTGTTCTGCACTGATTTCTCAGTCATTTTGGGGTGCAGTTCAAGGTGCTGTTTGACTGGGTCCCTCTCAGTTCCCTGTCTCCCTCTGTGATAGGATGGCAATTGAGATCAGCCAAGGCATGCCGGCTGCCAGCCCCCACACTTGGATAATAGGATTCCCCCCCCCCCCCCCCAATCCCATCTAACAGCGCTAAAGCCCATTGCTGGGTGATATTTAAGCACATTCAGGGCTGGCATGTCCCAGCATCATGAGTATTCTCCGGACTGTGCCACTCTGAGACTTTCTTCTTCATGCCCCCTGGAAGGCTTGATTTGTGCATTCTGTGGCAAACCATAGTGGAGGGGGCATTCTGCAGGGTGAGTTTGAGCACTGCTAGGTTGTGAGATGTGGCCACTCCAGCCCTGTTGGTTTGGACTCTCTAGGGATGTCCTGACAGCATCCAGATCAGCAGGGTCTGGGTGGTGAGAGGCTCTGGGAAGGGTCAGTCTGTGCTGGGGCAGAGGCTGAGCCGGCAGCTCCCGTATGCCAGGCCCAGAGAGGCTGGCCTGTGCTGCAACCAGTGGTGGAGGCAGGCACCCTCCCCTCCTTACCTGTGCTGCAGGATGAGCAACAGACTAAGTGGGCATTCACCCACGGAAGCTTATGCTCCAATACATCTATTAGTCTTAAAGGTGCCACGGGACTCTCTGTTGCTTTTAACAGAATACAGGACAATTTGACATGTGAAGCTGCCTATCCCCCATCTAATTATTCTGGGGAACGCCATGTGGCCCCCTCTGCTGGGGACTCTGTTCTGCATGTTCTTTTGGGCTCTTTATATTTGGGATGAGTTCTGAGGCCATCCACGTCTATGCTTAAGTGCAACAGAGCAGCACAAGGGCTTGCTTTTCGATAGCTAATCTCCAAACACAGATTCCAAAGCATTTAAAAACGTAGCCTTATGTTGGGATTCCTTCATCTACCACTGAAATGCTGCCCCCTCTGAGGTGGAATATGGCAGCTGTCTAACAGAGGAGAGCAATGCTGCATAACCCTGTAGGACAAAGAGAGAAGAAACCAAAGGATGGTGATGGGTGTTTATTTCTTGTAATGTGGACAGAGTGCAAGTCCCCCAGCAGGAATCTGATCGTGGTGCTGCCTTCAATATCCCAACTCTGGTGAAAAGTGCTGGGGATCTTTAATGACAGCAAGTGATGATTAACTGTGATTTTTTTTTTTGCATAGCATTTTACAGATGGCATCTCCAGTAGCACAGAGCTCCTTGGAGCCAGTGTACTGGTGCTGGCTTAGAGGAAAAATGCCACCTACCAAATAGCCCCCACTCCTTCTGTAGTGCTGTGGTTTTCCTTCAGTGGCTCCCAGCTACTTGCCGATCAGGCCTGACCCTGCTTAAGTGGGAGATCAGAAGCCAAGATTATGCTGTTATGCTCTGTCTTGCTGCTGTCCCTATAAAGACTCGGCTAATATTATTTGTTTTCTGTCTCACTTATAACTTGCTGGTGAACAGAACCTGGAAGTTCAAGGTTCTCAAGTCTTAAAGGTGATTTATTATTGTTTCAGTTTTTAAATAATAAAAAACTGAAAGGCCAGATTTTTCAAATAAACCAAGTGCCAGTTATCCCCTAATTTCAGGGCACAGTCACGTGCCTGGATGTCCTCGCTGTACATTTGGATGTGTACAGTAACCTGCTTTGCGCATGCACTTGTGATTATTGTGTATGCCGCTTCTGCACAACACTTGGATAATCTGGCCATGTATTTTGTTACAGCTGACTGACCCCCCTCGCAGCAGGGCAGACATACACCAGCATGTGACTCTCTCTAAACTTCTCTTCCCTTTCATTTTTGGGAACCCTACAGCTGCTCCGATGATGCTAGAGAGCCCATGGAGCTGGCTCGGGGTGCTTGGGCCAGTGGCTATCATTTTCTCTTGCAGACATAGTTGATAAGTTTGGGATGTAGGAATAATAATACAAAGAGTATCAAATAGTGCATAAGTGCCCCAAAGCAGTGCCTTGTGTACTAACATTGTCACTTCCACTGACTCTTCTTCCCACCCCCCCCCACATGTCCGTTCCATGGTGGTGGGGGGGGGGGGGGGGAGAGCTCTGAGGTAGCCCCCCCCCCTCCGTGGTGTGATGGTGTCACAGTCACAGTAAAATTGCCCCCCACGGGTAAGCAGATTGGTAACAAAAATCTGTCACAATGGCAGTGACTCATGGTGTGGGGAGGATCTGAGCAAACCTCTCTCTTTGCAGTCACAGAGAAAACGAAATGTACTGAGCCCTGAATGCACCCCGGAGGTGGCATTGGAGGTTCAGACTTGACATTTCCATTTGAACTGCTGCCAGTCGCCCAGGCCCTTAGATTCTCTTAAGAATCAGGGTTAAGTACCAGCCACCACCCAGTCCAGTGCATGTGATTATATATTTCTGTCCACCATCTCTCAGAGCGGGGGCCAGTGGCTGGCAGACAAGGAATGTGAGAGCAGCAGTGCTTGGTCTCCAGGGAAACCAGGAAGCCATGTATCTCTTAACTTTTTGCAAAGTAGATAAGACTGTTGTGCCTGGTCCCAGGAAACCTGCAGATTCAACAAAAGCTTTGTTGCCTGTGAGTTTGAAATTGACTTAACACCCCCCACCGGCTCCTTCCTTACCCATCCCCCAAACAAACAAATCTAGAAGAACCCAACAGGCCTACTCTGTAGAAGTGTGTGTACACACACACACCATCCATCCTTAATGGGGTCTGATTCTGAAAGGTGCTGAGCACCCGTAACTCCCAGGGACTTCAGGGGGAGCTGTTGCTTTTGGCTCGTCTCCGGCCATAGTTTGAAGTGCTGAAACAGTCGGTGATTGCCGAGCTCCCACCTCTCTATGTTCTGTAATGGTGAATCGCAAAAGAACGGGCGCTAGGGAAAACACTGGCCTTACTTAAAAATAAGCTGGGGGTTACCTTTAAAGGGGAACGGGGTAATTAAGGTTGGCCCCTGCATTAGCTGGTTAGTTACAAAACCTACTTGATACTAATGCTCTCTTGAAGTGTGTTTTGTCTAATCCAAGCTATGCTGTATGGTGTGAATCCAGGCACACAACAGCCTTGTGCTAGTGTCCAACACACAGAGAGCAGCTGACTAGAAACAGAACATAACCACTCTAATTACCTCGTTAAGGGCCAGATCCTCAGCCGCTGTGACTCCGCAGAGCCCCAGTGATTCCAGAAGTGGTGTAGATTGACATCCGCTGAGGATCTGACCCTAATTTGTTACCTGGAATTATCCTGGTAAAGCCGAGAGAAAATCCCCCTCTCTAGTGACATGTCTAAAGGAAAACAAACAAGATGAATGGTACAAAGTCAATAGGTTTTTTAAAGGCTTTTTCTGTTGAATACTCTACATCATTGCTCACAGCCTTTAAAAAGTGTGGGTGTTCAATAATGGGTCCCAGTCCTGCTATGATTTAAGTGGGAGCAGGGGATAGGACGGGGCTTATGATTTTTCTGACGGTGGCCCTTTAAGAAAATCAAACTAGAATCTAGAGACACTCTGATCCTTGAAGTCTTCCGCCTGCAGAACTTCAGAGAGAGCTCTTACACAGCTTGCAAGATTAGGGCCTGTGGGACATGAAATAGTGACTTTTGTAAGGGTGTCAGATACAAACTTTTGTCTGAAAGTCCAAAAAAAATACAAAGCTCTTGATAATAGTGATCCAAGTTGCAGTAACTTTTCTGTCCTCAGGGGGAATATTTTGCACAGCTGTTGATTTGGAAGAGATCAGTCACTTTGTCTGCTTCATACTCTTCTAATTGCTTTCTGTGTAGAACACAAGGATTTTCATCTAGCTTTTTATTGGTTTTAGATCTTGATATACATTGCAGAGCAAATTGAATAAATGGCAGCTGCATTTCCAAGGGGCTTGCAGACATCTACCCACAGAGCCTTGCTCAGTTAGTGCAGATTTTTTTTTTTTTTGAATGCTCCTTTGAGAGTTTGACCATAATTCTGCTAGTTGGCAAAATAAATGGTGATATGTTAGTACCACTTTTATAGTGCACTGCAGTATTAATTAGATCAAGGGTGGAAAGAGCTATCTTTCTGTAAAGAAATGGGAACCCTTAATAGCAAACACATCTTTACTACTTCTCCTTAGCTGTAGAGTTGGTGTGCATTTCACCCGTGTGTGTGTGTGTGTGTGTGTGTAATGATTCCTACATATATACATTTTGAGAAGTGTGCTGGGATGAAAGGCACTGTATAAATAGACTTGGCAGAATTAAAGTCTTATGCATAATATCGGTTTGTTTTTAAGAACTCTGATCTATTTAAATCTTCACAACTATGGGAGATAGGGGGAGGGGGCAGACAATTATTCATTGACTGTAGATATTGAGATTGAAAAAGTTTAAAGCTTTATAACTGTTAAAAGCCACATTGTCAACATTGTATTAACAGGCGAGTCTTGGCTTGTGATTGCCCTAACAGCAGTCATGTGGAGGAGTGTCTCTTCCATGCCTGAGTGTTGCTGACCTGCATCCATGCGGGCAAGAATGTTACACTAATCTGCCTGTGTTCAGCAAAGCCCTTGCATTAGGTGAAGGAAATCTGTCTCCAGATCAGGGATGTATGGGCCCATTGAGCTAGAGTGAGTCTTCTGGCACGAGTTGGCCCTGTACAAAATGCTGCATCCTCTACTTCCAGTCCATTCTCCAGATCTGATCAGGAGCAAGGAAAGCATGTTAAGAATCTTGGAAGACTCCCTTTCACCTTTGCCCTGGGTTGGCTGGGCAGTGCGTCAGAGTAGGAGACCTGTTCAGGTGACAAGGGCACATCTGGTCTTTTGAGCCAAACCAGTTGGACTTTACTGCCCCCCTCCTCCTGCTTATTTTGAAGAGGGACAGACAGGAAAACTTGTGCATTCTGATGACTGCAGTGAGTGTGGTTCTCCCAGAATAGTTCAAATGACCTTGTTCTTACAGGTTTCAGAATGACATGGTTTGCTAAGGGCCAATTGGCATGGATGGCAAAGCTCTCATTGGCGTTGGGAGCAGGACTGGCCCTTTGAGCCTCTTCCCCACAGCGGCCCAGAGCCGTGTTAGCTGCAGCCATCCTGAACCACCCTTTATTAGCAGGGCTCTAGCTTTGTCTGAGGCAGGGCTACAAGTGTTATAATGGTGTCCTGAATCACTGCTGTAGAGTTACTGACGGGGGTTAGTCTGCAGCTCGGCCTATATCAAAGTTTACCGTGAGCCAGAGCGTAACACGGTCCAGGGGGAGACGGGGGAACGGACCCTAAATCCCTGCCCCTGAGGCAGCAGAGTAACAGCACAAAGTAGCACAGCCTCCCCAGCTGTGCATGGAGCTGGCCCAGGCCCCAAAGTGGGCTATGCTGGCCAGGAAACAGGTGAATCAGCTCCCCTGAGCAGCCTGGAGCACTTGCTCCATCTCAGACCTGCCTGGGCTATCAGCAACTCGAAGGGAAGGAGGGCAGATGGCAGCAGCTCAGCCTGCCCTCCCTCAGGGTGGTGCTGAAGGGAAGCTTACGCCTCTCTGCTTGACTTGGGGCAAGTGAAGGCTAGAGAGGTGTCATTGCTCAAGCCGGAGGGCAGCCATGTCCCTGTCATGGCTGAGGACTCTGCTGTTCTCTTTCCCTCCTCAAGGAGGCGTTCTTAATCCGCCTGACTCCATGGTGCCTTGGCCTCTCCCCCACGGGGCTTCGCTGGCAGCCGATCTGACTGAGCTGTAATTTGTCTCCCCAGATCTGTAACTGGTTCATCAATGCCCGGCGGCGGCTCCTCCCCGACATGCTGCGCAAGGATGGCAAGGACCCCAACCAGTTCACCATCTCTCGCCGAGGGGGCAAGACCGCAGATGTGGCCCTGCCCCGTGGGGCCACCACGGGCTCTGGGGTGCTGGTGATGCCTCCTGTGGCTCCCGCTACGGCTGCTGCCACTGCCACCCCGAAGGTGCTGTCCATGTCTGTCTGCCCGCAGGTGATCTGCCACCCCGCGCAGCCACTGGCCAGCAGCCTGACCGTGGTGAGCACCCACGGGGCTGAGCAGGAGAAGCAGCCCCCCTTCCCCCGGATGGAGCTGGACCCCCACCCCAAGCCTCAGCTGAGCACAACAAGCAGCACCATGGCGCTGTTGGCCAGGACGGACGCGGCCAGCCCCACCAACGGACTCTTTAACACCCCACCCCCCACACCGCCCGAGCTTTTCGGAGAGGACTTCAGCAGCTTCCAGCTGCTGGTGGAAGTGGCGCTGCAGAAGGCGGCCGAGCTGGAATCGCAGCGGCAGAATGGGCAGCTGCCCCCATTATGGCACACAGAGCCCCAGGCTGCCCCAGTCTCCAAATAACCTGCTCTGTGCTGGCTCCAGCTGGGTCTGCCCACCCTTCCTGTCTTCTAGGGCTCTGTTGGGTTTGGCGTCTGCCCGCTGAAGGTGGTGGTGGGTTTTTTGTTTTTGTGTTTTGTTTTTCTCGGCAGTGAAGATCCTCATCCCAGATGTTACACATCCTTCTCCCACCAGGAGGGGACCCAAGGAGCCTGACCGCATTCGGACCTCCACCAAGCCACCCTTGTGGACTGCAGCATCTTCATCTGGAGGGACACGTGACCCTTTTCATTGTCACGATGTTCGGAAGCTGTCAAGCATCCCTCGCACCTTTGATTGCACCCTGGGTTTCTTATATCGTGCTGGAGACATTGCCTCTCTTCAGGTGCCCAAAGGAGGTAGGCCTGGCTCCTTGGAAGGATCTTAGTGGCTGTTGTGGGGAGAGAGCTTTGTAGCTGGCATGACCTCTTACTAGATGACTATTTTGCTGTGTAAGACTCTGGAAAAACCTGCTGACTCTATGGGAGAAAAACAAATGAAGCGTCCAGCCAAAACTGCATCTAAAGGGGGTGAGAAACCTTCTGGGTTTTGAACACCTGAGGAGGAAAAGACTTTACCCTAAACCTCTCTGGGCCACCTCTTTGTTTTGCCTTGTATATATTTTGTGAATGGAGAGTTTAGCCGCAGAGCCTTGAGCGGCCCTGGAGAGCCTGTGGAAAGGCAAAGATCAAACTAACTGGAAAACTTAAATCTGTGGCTTTTTTTTTTTCTTTCCCATTGAAAGAAACAAAACCCCCTAATGTTGTTGTTGCCAGTAAAATCTCTGAGGTGCTGTTCAGCAATCTTATCTGCTGAAAACATTTCTTGATTGATTGTGACTTTTTTTCCCCCCCTTTTGGTAAACACTTCACCATTTCCCTGTTCCTCTTGCGTTCCTGCTGTAGACGTGCACCTCATATCATGGAAGGGAGAGAGGAATGTACATATGTCCTGGGAGGATACCGACCAAGAGCAGAAGAAAGGGCATTTCAGTGGGGGAGTGGGGAAGGGTTGGAGATTAATCTTGACTGTGAAATAACTTGTACTTTTTATTTTTTTAATACCCTCTTTCCAGCAGAAGAGGGAATCTTTGTGGGCATGGACTGCCTGCTTGTTCTCTTGCTGTTGTAACCTTTTCAGCCTGCATGAGGCATTCCCTGGAAAGCAGAGTCTTGGTTAAGCTAGTGATGTGCTAACAACAAACTGCCTATGAAACACATGCTGGTTGGAATCTTCAAACCCTTGCTTTCATCATGCTGAATGTAGTTCCTGCCACACTGGTGGAGCAATGGTGACCTCTCGTGGCCAGCTGGCTTATTGCACAGAGCAGGGTCTCTTGTGCACTTTGAGCCTGCAATCTCTGTGGCCACAACAAAAGCAAAACAAAAAAACCTACGTAGCCCTGTGAATAGTCTGAGTTGCCAATGGGAGTCTAGGGTTAGGGGGAGGTGGCATGGGCCACAAACTGCACGCGGAGCAGTTATGAATCCAAATAGCTGTGAGTTACAGGTTGTGCACCTTTCATTTGAATAGTAACTCTTGAAGCCTGCAGAAATGGGAACAACGTGGGTTGAATGAACATCCCCATGTTTAATATTGCTGTTTCACTGTAAATGTAAGTTAAATAGCGATATATACGTACCTATATATCTATCTTGAGAAACACTAATCCTAGGTTGTTAGCCTAATTATTATGTTGCATGAATAGTGATATTAATGTCAGCAGGATACAATTGGCATCCGTGCCTGGGGCTCATGCGGATGGGAACTTGTGGGCAGTGGAGGGGGAGCAGTGCATTGTGGGATTTGGGGCTGTGAAGGGAAAAGTGGTGGCTTATCAGGGAATCCCCCTCTCCCCCTTTTTTTTAAATAACCTTTTGCTTAGAGCAAAATGGGGCCCATGAGAAGGAGCAATGCCACTTGCAGCAGTTGGGAGAAATCCCTTCCCATGTCCCGTAGATGAGTCAAGAGATCTGACTTCCTGTTGCACTGTGTGCGGTCCTTCACATCAGTGAACAGTGGGTATAAGATGTTCCCATACTGGTTTGATTAGTGTCTCTCACCCACTGTGTGCTGGTACAAAGGACCACACAGGGTGCAAGAGAGGGAAAGCACCCTGACTGTCCTGACCGATTCCTTTCCTAGGGGAGGTAATGCTGCAGTGCACCAGGCAGCTGCCTGGCCTGGGGTTTCTAGTCATAGTGATGTTCCCTGCAGAGCTGTGTGGG